TAATTACATATTTTACTTATTACAACATATATCGTAACATTTTAATATAAGCCTATTTACACACCAGAACCGAATATTTCTTAAACCAGTTTGCGACTACATTATGTTACTGCAATCATCGTTCTTACAAAGCAATGTGATTACTCCGCTTGTATGATCACCGGACCTTCGCCGTGAATTGTCAAATTTACCCCCCCCCCCCCTTTTCCTTCTTGGAAACCGTTAGCTGGGAATCACGGATGAGCGGATGTTTGGGAAGCAGAAGTAATCGTAACCACATGTTTGCTCATGATTCATAGAGCCCAAGTGTAACTCGATCGTAATGTAATAAATATATTTTACCTCTCATTACCATATCACATATTTGGATGGTAGGTGCATGTTGCTTTTATTCCCTCTCCCCCTCTCTTCGGGACACGCTTCATGGAAGAACTGTTCAAGTGCGATTTCTCGAAAAGAACTTCGCGTATACTACGAACGTATTTTATATTTCAATAAAACTCGTATTGTGTAGTAAGAGAATTAATTTAGAACTAGTGGCCTGCAGCAGCAGAAATGCTGCTGTGAAAATATGTGGAAAATGGATCCTGGAACAGTAAAAATTGGCTGTTCTGCAACGTCACACGTGAGAACTGAAATTTTTTTTTCCTTTGTCGCATGACACCTGCTGTGTCGTAAGCAGTGATTCACTGAGAATGAGAATTCAGTAGGTAATCACAATGTGACAATAAAAGGAATAACACAATCAAGTATTAGCATTTAAAAAAATTGAAAATGGCACAAGGGCTTCGTGTGTAGGAGCGGCACTGCTAAATCTTACTTTTGACGTGATTGCCAACGTTTCTAATCTAACAGAGTTATGCATGATTCATACTTCCAGCCGCCATCCATACTGACATCCAGGTTTTCGAGTACAAAATTGCATGTAGTATCTCATCCCTACTCTCACCAATCGTAGTCATCTTTGAATCAACAATAATTTACCTTAATACTGACGTGTTGCCGAAGTTACGGTTCAAAAGAACCAAAAAAGAAGTAAAAAAATATATGTAACGGTTTTCTTTATAACCTTGCATCTTTGTGGAATTCCTAAGCGCCCTACGACAGATTTACGTGCTGGTCAGCTGGGCCCAATCCTTAATGTGCGGTACCAGACAAAAATCTTTTTAATAAAGAAGGAAGTGAGGTTTTTTTGGTTTTTGTTTGTTGTTTATTCGCGACCGTATTGAACAGTGCTGGCGATCATGCTACATCTAGCAGCAGGACCGAGAAAGACACGAAATACCATGAGACATTCCATCGTGAAAACAAGACCTCGCGCGACAAGAAATAAAAACCAAATATAGGATGCATGCACCAGGCCTAGTAGACAAGTGGCTATTATTCTTGGCTTACCAATCTGAAGATCGAGATTCAATTATCACGATTGCCGGGGGACTTTTTTCTTGAAATATTTTCCTCGAGCAGAGAACGTTACATGGTATAATTACGATTTTCATTAAAACCTGTGAACTTTCAAAAAATACAAGCTGGACCCCCCCCCCTTTAGTTGCTAAAGAGAGTGGGTAAATAAATCGTAGGTTATAATTTGTAATATAATACTATTGTGTTTCCGCTACAAGTAATATGAGAGAATATATGGACTGTTGTAGTACCATTAGTTGATATGTCTGGTTGCATTAGCCATACCCTCTGCAGAGGGAATGCGATGACACAGAACACACATTTTCAAATCACTTGTCATATTCTTATCACTAATCCTTCACCAAAGTTTACCTTCCTTTAATGCATCAATCAGAATTTTGCGTTTTCTTTTTCTGCTAATGTTGATATCTTGAAAAAGATTTAGCGAAATACTTTGTTTTACATCAAATTAAAATACGTTCTTCAGACACGAAATATAACAGCTGTACTTGATTTCACATTAAGTATCTGTATCACTATCATTACTACACTCTTATCTCTTTCTGAACTGAGAGTTGCTGTAACAATCTGGGACTTAGAAGTAAGATTTCCTTCTTAGTAACAGTGTGTTAGAAGAGTTTGCACAGATGTCCTTGAAAGTCATGGAACAACTCGCCATTCAAAGACATCAGATAAAACTTGTCACAGACTATAGCTTTCCTAAGCAAATAAACCTCAACTGCGATCAACATTGTCCAGTTTCTTTTTCATTTCACCAATAATTCCAAACAGTCGACTAGGCTCGCTCTATACAATGTATGTCTTCCACACCACTGCTTCCCATTCCTTCACATAAATGAAAAAAGTCACATACAGAAGGAAAGTTTAACGGAAAGAAAGGGGGTTTAACATACGAAAACGGTTACATTTCATTTGCTTGCAAAATTTTTATACTTTTTGGCTGGAGTTAACTTGAAGCATTCTTTAAGGAAGTGCATCATGCTCCATCTCTGTATTTGAGGCAAAAAATAAACACTGCAAATTTTGGGTCGTTTCAAATTGGATGCTTCAATTGTCAGTTTCTCATGGAGATAAATATTGTATGATGCAATTATTTTAATACTTTGTTTATGAAAACTTGCATGTATTAATTGATAGACTTTTAGAATCATTATATATTTATTGTGATTTGATTAAATGTCCACATTGGGATCTATCTATCAAGGTCGATTCATTACCTACTCTCCAGATGTGACTGTTTTATAATTTTATTTTAGAAAGTATTCTTAAACTTAAGAGTGAATGCATTCATTTACAATTTTCATAAACCAGTAGAAAATTATACATGAATTAGACAAATTTGTTCAAGTTATGATTGAAAACAAATTATTATACATAATTTATGTCATGTGATAAAGTATTTGTGACTTTGTATGGGGTCTCCAAAATAATTTGGGGTTAAGAATCTTATGGCTATAAGGTGGCCCTCACGGGAGCAATTTCATTTTACCATGACATTAGTCAAATGAGTCGGAATAGTTGTGAACCCTGAAGAGGGGGGGGGGTTAATGTGATTCTATCTCTACCCCAAGGTCATTTAATTGAAAAGAGTTTTTTATTTATGTTTTGTGAATAAAGAAAAGCTACTTACATACATATATTTGAAGAATATGATTGCTCCAAGAGTAGTTCATGGAGTGTGCAGCCCTTATAATGCCTACTCACAAATAATCTATTAGAAATGATAAATAGAATTGTGCCCCCACTGCCTCCCATGCTGTCTAACCCATGAACTCTCAGATGAGGCTGTTGAGTCCTGTCCCCCAATTGAGTATCTCCAACTGCCTGTCAGGATTTTTTCCTTCAAAAATTAAACGCATTGCTACTAGGATTGATGAGCAGCCTGTGAGCGTATCTGTTTACCCATCAAGGTGTGCTCTTCATGTTTAGTATTGTCTGTAGTTCAGTCATATGTTCTTTGCGTTTATCTTATGTTTTCCTATCCTATCAATCTTATCCACCTTTCCTTACTTTCTTTCATTGCTTTCTCTATCCTTTTCTTAGTTTTTGCTTTGCGCGATTCTCTTCTTCATTTTTGTAGTCTTCTTCCATTCACTTTCCTACATTCAGTATTCTTTGACTTCTTAAAATATTCATTGAGATTGTCATTGATTTACTTTATTTTATATTTTTCATTTACTTTGTGCTGTTCAGTGCTTTGCACAATTAAACAAATAATGGTGTAATTGCAATGCCTAGATCCTCGTATTGAGTGTTGAAAATTCTTGAATTCCTTTTGGTGAGTAATTTTTAATTAGAATTAGAAATTTGGGAGTGAATCATGCTTCAGCAAAATTTAATTTTTACTCTTATACTAGAAAATCATTATAAAACTGCATTGCATGTTGAAAATCTGAGCAATAAATAAAGTTGTATAACCTTAAAATATATACCAGGTCAAGTGTAATCAAGATTATTAAACCAAAATTGGTGTTGATAGGTAATACATCTGAAGGTCTAAAAGCTACTGATCTAAGCATTCTTTTGTGACGTAGCATTTCAAATTATTATAACAGCTTATTTGTTACAAGAAGATGTACATGTATAGCATAATGTAGTTGATTTGTTTTCAGAAAATGCTGCAAAAAGAACTGAAAAATAGATCTAGATTAAATCATAACGTCCTTTGGGTCTATGTTACCTTAGATAATAAAATCATTGTGTGTATTGAATGAAATTTCCATGAGATTGGCAGATTGATTTTTGTGATGCATTTAATTGATTTCTCATTCTTGTTTTAAAAAAATAGAATTGTAATATTATTTGATCCTTAATGGAGAAATCCTTTGCTGTCATGCAATTTAACATGTTCTGACTTTGAGATTGATTTTCATATTAATCAGTTTTACTAGGTCTGAAAAGAAGAAGATTATTTCTCATGAATCACATGTATTGTATTTAATTTTTGACGTTTTTTTAAACAAAGTTTGTTAGACACATGGCACAAATTAATTGTTTTGGTGTGATAATGTATGGTGAAGATTAGAAAGATTTAGTTTCCTCCTTGTCTTCTTTAATTTCCTATGTAACCTCCTATTTTTTTTAGCCAGAATTTATCCAGGACTTTTTCTGAGGCGGGAGGGGGTAAATTGAACTATTAGAAGTAAAATAATGAAATTTGGATGACATAATGAAGTCTGAATTTTTTTTCATTATAATTTTTTTCTGTCCCTGTTGAAAATAAAACATACACATGTCCTCTGTTTCCTTGAAAGTAGGTCCAATGCCCAATACAACTGGGCCAATAAACATTCCTTGATTTGAACATTTCAGGTTGTGTGAAAATCATAAATGAGCATCTAGAAATGGATTACTGTAATTGTGTCCCTAGAAGGAACAAATTGATACTTTTCCTGCAGGGGATATCCAACTCAGTATTTGGAGCAGATCCCTGGCACTCCCCCAATTAATTTGCATCCTGGTTTTAGCCCAAATACTTTGCGTATATCGTATTCAGAATCTGTTTTGCATGGTTTCAAAACATATCAGTTAAAATTTATGCTGTGAAGAGTCTTACAGGTATGTTTTGTTTACAGGAAAAGCGTTTGACATAACGTATGTAAGGTTGTGGTTTTACTCTCCGAGACCAGAAAGTTTTGCTATTTACAAAAGAACTACTCAAGATGGCCCATGGATACCGTATCAGTTTTACAGGTTTGCTTTTTTGTTATTTTAAGTTTTTGATTTTCCTACTTGAATTTATTCATGCCTTTTTACCTCAAATTGGTTTTCTCTCTGTATTTTACCTTCCACTTCAATTATTTTCTTTTATTATTTATGTTCTTCCTGTTTTAATTGCTGTTCACCGAGCTTTTTGCATGCTCAGAAAAAAAAATTCATGCTTTTCTATCAGAAATATTTCCGTCTCTGCCCATTTTTTCTTTGGCGGTCTTTTTTATTTATCACAGCCATCCCATTTTGATGGTTTATCTCATTTGTCACCAATGACATCGGCAATGGTGTATCAACATTGGTGTCCCCATAACATCAAAAATGTATCGAAATCATCTTTAATCTCATTCATAAACTTTTTACAATAATCCATGAATCATTTTACCCTCAAAACAAAATATATTTTTTTATCTCGTATTTTTCTCTCTTTCTTAAAGACTTCAAAATGATATTTTTAGTTATAATTTCATTAACCATTCAAAATATTACTTTCAACATTTTTAGCAATAAAAAATGGAACAACTTAAAATATGTTATAAGGAGAATGTATACTGCTGAATGCCATTATTTTGAAGAATCAACATTTAAATTTTTGTATAGGAAACAGGAAGGTATCGTTTGAAGGTTACTTCCTATCACAGGAGCTCATTGATGACATAACATTTTTTTTATCAAAAAAACTCGAAAATCAATTTTCAATTTTGGAAAATAATGCTATTAAATATTTAAAAATTGGATGTAGTTTCAAAAAAATTTTTATTTTGAAACTAAGGTTCTCTTTGATATTTATTGTGTTTAACTGATCCAGGTGTCAAAAATCTCTATCGCAAATTTTTCTGTCATTTCATAAAATCATGTCTAAATGTTTTTTATCATTCTAGGCAGCCTCTTTTTCCCCAAAAGGAACAGAAAGTAAATAATTTTATTCAGAAGTTCATTAACATTTTTCATCATTTTATATTTATTATAGGTCACTTAAATAAAAGAATATTGTCATATTCATGTTCAGCTAGCTAATTTTCTGGCATTGTGTAGGTGTTTGTATATCTCAATTAACTGTTACACAACCCTGCTTGCTCTGCCTATTCATTCCACCTCACCCACTAAGTCTGCCCCTCCCCTCTCATCCCTGCCCTGCCTAGCTTCATCTAACCTTGCCCTGCCCCGTTCTGCCCCACCCTCCCCGCCCTGTCCCACTCGCTTCGCCCCGTCCCATCCTGCCCCGCCCTATTCTGAACCACCCTGCTCCCATTAATTGTGTTTTATAACAATTCTGTTTAAGTGCCCTCTTTTTCTCTTCATCTTGAAGTGCTAGAGGTGTCTTATTCACACAGTATTTGTAACACAGTAGTTGTATTACACATTGTAATGTGTGTTCAAGGTGTGGTTGAAATTGCTTCAGGCATTATTGATATACTGGAATATACTTGCACATGTATATACATTTTTGAAAGTGTAAAGAAATGAACCTCTAATGTTCATTAACAGTTCTAAAATTGTAGCCTGCATTAAACCTGAAAATAACTATTGGCATTACGTAATTTGACTAACACAAAATAATAAATAATCTAGATGTGAAAAAAGTAAATTAATTTATATCTCTGAAGGAAACCTTTAGACAAGCGTTGAACTGATTGTACTTGATCAACTGAATTTGACTGATTCAGTTCTCGGCAAGGGTCTCTGCCTAGGATTGCTAGGTTACGAAAAAAGAAGAGCCCTTGGCAGTGGTAGGGGTGGATGCATTCTAAGAAGTGGTTGCTTTGGGTTGTTCTCTAAAAACTGGTCCTCTGGGTCCCTAGGTTTGAGGCAATGCCTTCTTTGCAAAAATTAAACCAATACTTAAGATGCTTGATAGGAGCCCATTCTTTGAACATTGAATTAATAGTATTTTGGTAGCAGAACATTTGATTAATTGTAATTTAAGTAAGTTGGAAAAGTTTTATGGTGTAGAACCATAGTGATGGTCTGAAAGAGAATAACTTCCATTATCCTGAATCAATTTTACTACATGAATTATTACAAAATATGGGGAATAAAAGAGACCTATTTCTTCAATGGGAACTTCAATGTTAGGGTAAGATGAGAAGATAAGTTTGGAGAAACAAAATGAAGTGGCAACAGAGGGAAGTTCATGGCAAACTGAAGACAACATTAACAATGACTTCTTTAAACATTTAAATTTTCACAATTATAGGGGGCATTTTCAAGTGAAACCAAGAAAACTTGTATTTATCTGTGTGACTCATAAATTACTCTTGTAAAGTTCCCTATTTGCAAAATGTTAAACAATAATTTGACATAATCTAAATGGCCAAAGAAGTTGATGTCCCCTTAAAGCCAAACTTCAATTATTCAATCTATCAATCAGTCTTGCTAAGAATTGAATGATACATAGATCATATTGAATGATCTGAGTGTAGAGGGAACTGACATGTTGTTCCAAAGGCTTTGGGTTGAAAGTTAAAATGGTAAACTCACCTGCAGATTATATTTGGAAGGATGTTGAACAACATTGTAAAATCATAAATATGCTAGTGGAGGAAATATGCTAATATAACTTTAGACATTTCCATGACACAAGTATATAATCTCTTTACTATATCAGTTTAATTTCTTTGTTTTGTTTTTTAGCAGACCTGCTAATAAAGTGCAATGCTAATGGCATGGAAAGATACGTAACGTGTGTTGAGAATTATTTCTGTGAAGGCCACTGTATGATATCAGTTGTCTGGTCGGACACCTTTGCAGTGACTTTTATGCTTGATCTCTAAAATTGTTGTTGTGGACTTGAGTGTCTCCTTTTGGAGTTCCTCAATTAAATAATTGAGGAATAATTGACAAGAGAATGTAGAATGAATACTTCACAATGAAATTTGAGTGGTCTTGGGGGGAAAAATGGTATGGGCCAAAATGAAGATTTTGAGATATAGGAAAAAGAAATCCTTATCTTCTGTATTCAGATGTCACTGCAATGCAGGTTGAGAAGCTGATGTTTTGAGTGTCATGTTGCAGGCTTCCTCAGGGCAAGGACGAGTCTTTAAAATTAAATCTTTTTGCAGTATTTTTCTTGATGATTCCGATATCCCTGACCTTAGGCAAGAATGAATGTCCACATTAAGGGAAATATTGGATTATTTCATCAAATCTTTCCATGTCAGTTAGAGAAAAAAATAATTGAATAACTATGGTTTTTATTTTGCTCTAGAATCAATGCCATCTCAAAAAATGTGCAAAATTCTTATTGTTTCAAGTACTCGAGAATGTTTATATTTCGTTGTATACGTCTGAAGTAGAAAACATATTGCAAAGACAAATGAGGCAGTGATATTTTGCTTATAGTGAATACTAATTGCCAGAGTGTCTTCCCTTTCTTTCTATATGTTGGTTACTTGTTTCAATTTAGCATAAAATTCTTAGAGTGCCTTCTATGGACCAATAATTCAGCTACTGATGAGCAGCTCTTCATATCTCATCACTTCTCAAACCCCTGCAACTTCTGACAAAGCACATCAGTCATTGACTCGAGTGGGTTTCAAATAAAATCAATGTTTTTCTGCCTTCACTCAGCAATACTGAGGCATGGAATTCACACAAGAATTAATACGACTTGTGTATCTTGCATGTAGATCATGGAAAGATCTTCTCCAAATCAGACAGCACTGTGACAGCACTCTTAAAAAAAAATTAATAGTGTCTTGTGTGGTTTTTGCAATCATTGATTCAATTCATTAAAGATAACAATGTTCTAAGAAGAAAATTTATTAAATAAATGGTAAATATTAAAACCAAAATATATTGTTATAATATGCTGGAGAGGATTTTGCTTGAAGATGCTTCCAACTTCTCTCAACATTTTTTAAATATATAAGAGAGCAGTCAGTAAAAATTATTCTTTTATGTTGGTTAATTTAGAATCTTCTACTTCCTAAAAATCCTGCCTAGTCATTCTGTATAGTCTTTAATATTTATAGGAAGCCCCAACAAATGTTAACTTTCATCTTCTCATTTCATAGCTTAAATTCTTGAATGTTATTGATGTTATGGGCTTTAACAGTTGATGTAATGTGTTTTAATTCCTTTCAGTGCTACATGCAGAGACACATATGGATTGCCAGATAGCAGTTACACAAGGAAAGGTTCTGAGGAAGCTCGGGCACTTTGCACTGCTGAATACTCTGATATATCTCCTCTGACCGGTGGTAATGTCGCATTCTCTACTCTTGAAGGACGACCTTCCGCATACTTTTTTGAAAATAGCCCTGAATTGCAGGTAAGCTTGGGAAATTGGTTTTTAGATACGTACATTGAAGTTTGAAAGTATAGTATTCAAATTTTATAAAATTGTGTAACATATTTCTTTCTGGACCAACATTGATCAGAAAAAGGTTACTATTTAAAATTATGATATTCACTATATCAGAAACTAATATTTATGTTTAAAAAAATAGAAAATCACATCAAATATTAAATATAATAGGTAATATAAGTAATTATAAAAATAATAATAATAAATAATTAAATATTATGAATTAACTAAATGATGAGTCCATTTATAATGTTAAATTTTTTATTAACCATACAGATACATTATGTTTCAAAGATTTTTAAGACAACTTTATATTTTTTATCACTGATTTATTATTAAACATTCAACTTCCATACCTTATGGAGTTATGGAAATGTTTTCATCTATTGCCTGAAGATGGGAAGAACCTTTCCCGAACCTTCGCAAAGTGTATAATAAGTGACAATCTGATTGTTAATAATAAATTGTGATAAAAATGTAAAGTTGTCTTAAAGAATTTTTAAGTATAATGTATCTGTCTGGTTAATGAACATACCATAGTTACCTGAATATAAGTCAACCTTGAATATAAGACAAACCCCCAATTTTGAAGAGGCCTCCAGAGAATTTTTAAAATTTTTAATTCTTATTATTTAGTCAAAATAAAATTACAAAATAACTTATTGACTAGAAAATTGCCTTGATGATGATGAGAATGTTAAGAGTTATGGCTGAACTACTATTTTCTTGTTCCTTAATATCATTATAATCACGGTTCTTGTCACGACCCTCATCTTCTTCGCGTATATCAATGTTTCTTTCTTTTTGATCTTCCTTCCATGCTATGACATTTTCTGACTTTTTAGGCCCCTCTTGAAAGTTTTGCGGACTAAATTGATCATAGTCTTTCATCAGACGTTATCTAAGAACATTCCCTTCTGTCGCCAGATTTTCTATCCATCCCGCACTTGTTAATGGCCTGTTCAAAACGCAGATTCGTATTCGCCGGGCGTCGAACCGCAATTCCGCGCTACCTCGTCGAATCCGTATCGTGGAACAAACTCTCGGCATTCATTTTCACGTTACGTTTCATTTGATACAATGTCATTCAGTTAGATTCTCTTTAACGGCCCATTCAGAAAAACCTGCCCGAATTGCTCGACAAATGGGGTGGATACCGAGAATACGAAGGCAAATATAATTACTTATTATTACGTGCGATATTTTTACCGTCTTCGCAGTATATTGTTGCGTCAACATTTACGAGTTTCGTGACATGGAGTGGCAATGTAAAATCCTAAATCCTAACCGACCATGCTTAATCTGTGAATGTAAGACATTGCATTTTTCGGCTAAAATATTTCTGATAAAACCACGTCTCATATTGTGGTAAATACGGTACAGACAGCTTCCCAATGATAATAATATAAATTTATTTATTAATGGACATGAAAAAAATTAACAAATTATGATTAGAATCATTGTTTAATTAATTGACATTTAATCCAATGATCACTCTGAACTTGTGAATTGATAAAAATATAAAGTATTTAAAATATAATTTCTCTCATTAGACGAATATTAAAAATCATGAAGTTTGAGATGTATTGGATGTTTTAAAAACTAAATTTATTTTCAGAAAATGTAATTAATGTTGTACTGAGTAAGTTACTGACTTTCAATGCAATGTACCTTTGCCTTTTGTATCCTAATTCAAATGAGTATAATTCCCTTAAAGAGTATAATCTCCTGATGATAGTAGAATAATTTCTGATAATAGGGTCCAATATATCTTAGCAAATAACCTTGTTAATAACACTAACACATACTGAATTTTTTGCAAAATTCATATTTTATAATTGATCAGACTTAATTTTTGGTGAATTTGAGTTGGATTAGATCTTTTAATGTTTGAGGTTACTTTTTTTATGAAGTTCACGTTACATTTTCAAAATTTTCTCAATAGTAGCTATAAAATTTTCCCCTAAATTCTTTCTCTTGTTAACAAAAGTGCACTCAAATATGATGTAAGTCCAGTTTTATTTAAATTAAATTGCAAACATTTTAACTTCTTTTGAACTACTCCTATACTGTTATTGTTGCTATATTGTTTTCTTAATGTAATTATACATAAATATTAGCACTTTAAAGGGTTTTATGTACGTTCCTTCAAAATATGTGATATTTGCCCATACTTTTTCAACAAACCATATCAATTTCCTAAAAATACATTACCGTGATTATTTTGAAACTGGCTCCACATTTTTTCTTTAATTGTTTTGTAAAAATGTACAATGCACTGAATCATATGGCACCAGTTCTATTATCAGTTAAGTCTTTGAATTTCCAAAAATTATAATGTTCATGACGTTTCTTTTTGGGGATAGAGAGGGATATTATAAGGACGGAACACAATTTCTTTTTCAAGCAAAGCCTCTGAAAAGGTAAAAATAAAAATAATATAAAACAGACTTAGAAATATAAAAAAATAGTGATTTTTCAACAGATAAACTTATTGCCAAGCCCTGCTAACAAAAAAATGAATAAATCTTTTTAAACACCTGATCGTTAAAAGATGTTTCTTCTTATTAATATTATGTAAGGATAATATTTAGCAAGTATTTCAGAATACATTTTCATTTACATTTTGCTTATCATCTTGAAAGAAATCTTAACATGTTCACTGCCAAGTAGGAGTGGATCCATCCGATTATTTTGGAGCCGTCATAGATTTGTTAATAATAATTATTTGTTATTGTACGGTATACCATTTTTGGAGTGTATAAATGACACTATAAAATATTATTTTTTAAATAATAACATAATTCTAACATATATTTAAATCAATTTTGCCAAATAAAAGAAGGTAAAAACCTTTAGGCCTTTTGGGGGAACCCCATGCCTCCTTCCCCTTCCCCCTTCCCAGCTCAGCTCCTGGATCTGCCACTGCTGCCAAGAGCATTTGTTACTATTCTATATATAATGATACTGATTTTCAAATTTTCAACTAAAAAATTGCCGATCAGGTCTTAAAATGGATTTGGAACAGATGACAGAAAATTCTAAATCTCCAAAAGTTATTGTACACAAGTCTTCACCACTTACCGGTAATGTGTGTTTCATTCCATATACCTACATAGTGCACAGTACAATGTGGTTTACAAGGAGCCAGTGTGCTTGTGAAGTCATGCCTTGTGGCCAGAACATCCCCCACCCCATCACACGTGATGTTTGTTATTGAACTCGATTTATTGGAAACAATTACAACATATTGATTGCATCATGTCACAAAGCAGTATTCTCACTCAGCTCGAGTGGGCAGTATTTCATGAATAAGTCCCCAGTTCTGCGTCCCTGACTGATGTTTCTCAGGGAGATAAAGGAAGTGTGTAAAGACAATCATTTATAAATAAAATTTGTCAGTATTTGATCAAGTTTCACACAGACTATATGAAACATGAGCAAGTGCCTTATTTAAATTATTTCTGCTTTGCAAACATTCTCTTACCTTTGATTCCTAGTACACAATTTGCTAAGATGCACAGTTGCAAGTTTGACAGTTCACAGCAAAGGATCAGTGGTCCTAGAAGAGCAGCAGTATTACATTGTTTTGTAAGAAAGACATTTCTAGAAACATGTATTGGGAAAGTAGTTTCTGAAATGTTAAGATTTAACATGTTAATGGATGAAAATATCACAGAATCTGTAAGAAATATATAGTAATAGGTATAATACGTAAAATAACAATATGTAAACTTAAACTGCATCCATTTTTTGCTCAGTGACAGCCTATTGATAACTATAATAGTTCTCTTTGGATCTAATGCTCCAATGACAATTTTTTGTTTAATTGTTGGTGTTATCTATTGGAGAAGCTATATGAATACTAAAAACAGTTTCAGTGTAATTATGTTCTTGAGCACACTGAAACTGAAGTTTTTCTTAGCTTCTGAAATTTATAGATTAAGAGTACTACTTTTGGTGAAACAATATTGGACATTTTGAAGAAGGATAACATGCTTTCTTGTTTTGTTCTAAACTGTTCTAAAGAATATTATTTATTATACTGTGAATGCAAAAGATTATTTCAAGGTAATATTTAAATAGAATGGTCTCATTAGACACATCCTTGGGATGCTTGTCTATACGAGATGAAAGTCATTGCAATGTTTGAAATGTTTCCTCTTCAATATAGAATGGGAAATCTGGAAGTAGAGTTGGTTAGCATTAGAATGCTCGGATTACCAGAACCCTTTGGAATTCCCAGCTGAGTCATTTCAACTCGGAACCTTCAACAATACTTTTTAATTGTAAATATTGAAAAAATATTTATCTACATCACTAGACTATTTTTTTAAAATAGGAATTTCTGATATATTAGTAATTGTCACATTTTAAATGTTTATTGCTATTCTTATTACTATTGTTAAGGTGTATCAGAAACATCTTGACTGAAATGCACAGGTAAACAGAAAAAAGTAAATGTTGAAAAGAACACTTTTATGCGTTAATAATATTGTAAAAGGAATTTTAAAGTGTTTTAAATATTTAATAATAATAGTTCCACATGTAATACAAAAATGCCTTACCATTGCACTTCCTGTATAATATTACCATCTTGTAATTGTCACATACTTTATTTGTTTCTTTTATACCTTTTATGCACACCATTGGGAACTTGACATGGGTTACATGACTGAATTCGGAAAGAAAATTCACTGTGTGTTTGAGATGGGATTTCTCAATTCTTGGTAGGGTTTTCATTGTATTTATTTTTTATATTAGTTTGCGTAATGTGTAGTATAAACACGTTCAGATGGAAGATCCAAACGAGTAATCACTTGTACAAATCATAGTATTGAAGCACGTTTTGCAGAATACTCTTCAGGTGTTTGACTTACATCTCCTTCTTTTCCTAATGCATGGTTCATGGCTAAATTTTCTATCCACTTCTTCTTGTTGCCTTACACAATACTTCCCCAATATTTCAATTACATGGAAAAACAGTGGCACATTTTTTGTGATCTTCAACCACAAACCAGAATTGTGCGTTTTATTTATCCAATTTTCATGCCAAAAACTGTATATAAATGCATAGACTTTGAAAGTAAAAGTGCCTATTAATCGGTTTTATTTCTCTGACTTGTATTACAAGTTTATAAATTCAATGCCTTATACTAAAGCAAATTCATTTCATGAAAGCAGCAAAATCAGCCGATTGATTTCCTCTCAAATCTCAAAATCTTATCAATTCAAAAATCATGAAATGAAACACTTACTATCTAAAAACCTGACCACATCATTGCCATCTGGGGTCTAGAATGCCCTCCTGTACATCAAAGCTCGCTTCTAAACCTGAACGTTTCTCTTTACTTGAATGATTTGTGGAAATATTTTGTAATTCACAGCTATTCATAAATGTAGTAATATCCTTTTTGAATCTTAATGATGTACTTTCACAAAACACATGATTCATTAATTGGTATGGGTTATAAAAGGCCAGAAAATATGAAAGGGGAAGGAATGTACTTGTATCCTGCAGAATGTAGCTGAAATACTAGGAGACACATTTAAACATTTTCGGCATTGGAATATACGAAACAGAAGCTACAGGATAGGATCAGTATGCCATGAGTTGTGAAGATAAAATATGTGTTAGACACTCAAATTTTTCACACCTGTAAATAAATTAAAATGATAAAAGTCACAAAATCATGAACTTTTATCTTTTGAAACAAAGAAATTACGACTTAAATTGCACCAGGAGTGGAAATAATGCTGCTGGGTATTCTTGTGTTAGACCATAGTTTGCAAAGCTGAAGCGTGGTATTATGAATAAAACCATGATTTAAAAGGAACAGTTTTGACAAATGTCAATTAGTGCATGAATTGAATGAATTGTGATATTTATGACATAATGTTCATGTTGTAACAATATCGATATGTTCTGCAGAAATGCTCCAAACAATGGCCAAAGAGTATGATTGACTGCTTTAAAGTAGATGTGGTCTATTTGGTGTCAACATTATTGGCCAGTTTAAAGAGCATTTATTGTCTGATTGACTGTCATCAAAGATTCCATCTTCCAAAAAAGAAAAGATATTTTCACTACAGAGGAATGGACTTGCTCATTAATACAAAGTTCTTGACATATTCAAACTAATACTACAACAGCATATACTTTCTCAAATTAATTGTAATGGGTGTGCAATATTATAATATTGCAAATTGTATCTTGCTAATACTTCAGCCATCTCTTGAAAATATTCGTGAATGGATTATGTATAATAAAAAAAGACCTTTAATTTTTGAAAATGTATAAGTTTTAATAAAAATGGATCTTGTACCATAAAATCCAGTGTATTGTGTTCTTAAAGTTTAAAACAAAAATTTGGAGCTCTCTTGAGAAAATCTTGTTTCTATACTGCCAAGAGTTCATTAAAAAATACCAGAAAACTACTATAATTTTGAAAAAAATGTACATAAAATGATTTAAATATCTAAAATTGATTAGTTTAAATAATTAAATCAGTAATTTTCTTAATTTTTTTAAGATCTTAGATGTCAGAACAAATGGATCATTGGGAATACTTGGTGAGCATTGTCACAGCGCTTCATGGATCAATGGTCAGGGTACTGAACGTCTCAATGGTCAGGAACTGAAGGTCTTGGGTTCAAATCATGGCCCATTCCAGACTTTTTTCTTTGAATATTCTTTGTCTGGGTAGAACCCAAAACTAAATTCATTGCAAAAAGCAATTTCCATTTCAACTTCTGAATTTTCAAAACATTGTAAATTTGTAAAAAGTACACAAGTATGTATTTTTTTGAATTGTGTGCCTCTTTTGGTTAATTTTTAAAGTCAGCTGAAGTGTTAGTAGGAAAGAAATTGCAGTTTTATAATATTGTGTAAATGTTACTAATAATACAAGAATGTTTGTACAGTTGTAGCAACTCTAGTTTTTTATATTTTCATCCTTAATAAGGCACTCATTCAAATAGGCTATTTGCCCAGTACCTGTTGCTGTAATGCCTCATGTTTTTAGTTCCATCATCTGATTAAAGTTCACAAAATAATATTCAAAATAAATAAATCCTGTGCAGATGTTTATTAAGTTGAGTGGGCAATCCAAGTCTAACATTTTATCCCTAAACGATATGTACAGCTCCTCCATACCCTTACTTTTCCCCTTGTAGATATCTATGTGAAAACAATAGCCTGTTGTTGAACAAAGAGCCATTTTTCAAAATCAAATGTCATTGGTTTCCCTCTGACGAAAAGTAGAGATGTCTGAAGTAACAGACCATTTGTTAATCTGTACATAGGGATTAAGTGAAAACGTCAAACTTCATCAAGTTGTCATTGAGCGCATTGAACCAATGCCGTTGTTGTGAATAGTTTCTCAAGATGAGGTGTAACATCTAATTTTGAATAATTAATGCCTACCACTATTGTGATTTCGTAGCAACTAAGCAGATGTAATTATTATAAATGATTTTTTATGTTTTTTCTCCCTATTTATTTATTTTATGACAGTCAGTACATCTATGTAGCTGTCACCACTTAGCACACTCGCATGTCATCACATCATTAACACAATTTAATATTAACAAAAATTATTTTATTCACATTTCATTATGAAAATATAAAACACATATTGCTTCCAGTCATATAATTTTCATTTTTTTTTTACTTCATCTATTTATTACCTTTTAAAGGTTTTAAATTTTATTTAAAACCTTTTTAGTAAGGAAATAAAATTTTTAAAAGTTGTAATAAATTGATGAAGTTTTCAAAAAATGAAGAAAATTATATGACTGGAAGCAATATATCTTATATTTTCATAATTAAATGTGAATAAAATAATTCTTGATGATATCAAATTGTGTTAATGATGTGATGACATGCAAGTGTGCTAAGTGGTGATAACTACGTAGATGTACTGACTGTGGTAAAATAAATAGAGCAAATATAAGAGTAAAATAATCAAAAACACAGTCAACCAAATTCATATAATAATTATTATAAATGATGTTTGACCTGTTCAAAGAAGACTGCCCTGATTGGTAATTGAACCTATATCTCCTGGTATAGTTGGCAGGTATAGCCCAGTTGCTGTACCACTTAAACTACTGAGGCAGTGAATTCTCTGAACAGTTTCATAAGGTATTTTATACCTTTGATAAATATACACATTTTTCAATCTTGACATAGTTGGTGTTTATTTCACCAAGGTGTGTATTCCTAAAATGAAGTAGTTTTAAGAAAGAAGAATACTGTAGTTGGGTAACCACCTGGAGACCTGTGAATATAGTTGTCTTGTGTATTCTCAGTTGTATTCTTATAAAGTAAATTATGGTAGTTTTTAGTCACTAGTTTCATTTTGTGTTCGTCATATTGACACAGTTGGCCTTGTGTATAGTGATACATACTCCTAAAATACTGAGAGGTATGCTATTTTTACATGGAAAATATTGTTCTTTTTCCCCCTTTGATTTGCCTAAATCATGCATGTATTTGCAATTAATAATATATTATTAAACATATGTCTCCTTTTTTAATGCAGGAATGGGTAACAGCGACAGACATACGCATCACTCTTGATAGACTTAATACATTTGGAGATGAAGTATTTGGAGATCCACAAGTTTTGCAGTCCTATTTCTATGCGATCTCTGATTTTGCTGTTGGAGCAAGGTACAGTATTTTGCCTTTTACATTTCAGTTGTTCTGTACAATAAGATAACATTTTTGGGTGGGAGTGGGGGTGTTAATAATTTAATGGTATGGGCAACTTGTATATGGGGAGGATCAGCCCAACCCTGAAGATGGGAATGGGAAAAGTTCAAGGAAGGAAGTGCAGTGCATGGCCTGTTGTTTAAAGTACTGAATTCACAACCATCTACAGCTAGAGCACTTAAACAACATGACATACACATTTTTAAAAAATTTATTTAACATAAAAAAGACCTGTTCAAAACTGGTGGTGGTGTACTATAGGGAGATGTGTATTCTGTGCATGTTTGTAGAGTTTTAAAATACCTACCCTAACTCATATAAAAGTTGAATTAATACAGGGGTTATGGCAAGAATTGATAAGAAAATATTCACTCCAATTTAAAATAAATTATTTTCAAACACACATCATTACAGATTTTGGCTATTTTGTCCTTTGTGAAAGAATAGACTTACTGATGCAAGGAGACATTATTTGAATAACTACATTTCCAATGGAGCTATAGAAAACGTCCACAGAGGGTGAAGCTACATTTACTTACTACCAAACCACATTCGAAATTGAGGCTAATTTTAAGCTAATTAAGTGCCATATTCCTGAATTTGAGGATCTTTTCAATTTCCCTACATTATGTGTGCCAATAAATTCTTTAGTTTAAAGGATTATCAAGTTTTTACTCCATGGAGCCATCACCAGTTGCTCCTGGCTCTCAGTGGTGGCTGGGACCCAATTGGGAGTGTTATGAGAATTTTAAAAGTAAAATTCAAAGGTATGAGAGATTCACAGGTAGCAATTCAAGCACACTTCCACTTCTCACTCCTCTCTGTGACAATATTTTGAAAATAGACAACAGCCATGAACCCTATGAGCTCAGATACCAAAACATCTGATGATCAGATTACCTTCAGATTGTTATTCTCACCAGTACTGCTATTAGATAATAATTCATTAAACAATGCTACTGTGGAAGGCATCACAACAAGTACTTAGAGAAGAGGGTTTCAAAGGAAAATCATGAATACAAAGTTACAAATAAATTGTGTAAATAAGCTTAAGTATTTAATTACAAACTACCAAAGAATAAGAAGTTACATAGTGTTTATGTGATTTTGTAACTAATTTTCATTGATGACTTGTATTGTTCATCCTAATTTAAGAGAATTGTGCAACAAACTTCAGGAGTAGGGCATTTCATGATTCGCTAATCATATCCCATTGCATAAAACCCCGATGGAAAATAATAACAACCTGATGAAGCAATACGAGACAAAAAAATGGTTGTTTTCAATCTATTAAAAACTGCTGCACTTTCCTCATTGGTGTACATGTCATTCTCTGTTGCATTAAATGTGTAATATTTATTTGGATTAAACGTTTAAGCAATAAAAAAAATGTGGCCCAAGCCCACCTAAATTCATAACTGGTTAGTACAAATTTTCCCAGCTTAAATAGTTATTTTCCACCTGAGTTTTCCTCATAACTAAAACAATTTCATAACAATGTGCACATTAAGAAATTAATGAAGAGCAAAACAAGAAAAAGTAGGAGTATAACGTTTTCTGCAACTTTGACATTTACTTTCAAGAAAGCTTATTTTTTAAGAACGTTCTTTATCAACAAATAGTATATAATCATATTCATATTTAGAGGCAAATTATTAACAACTGCGTCGCCTACAGGCACGCAAAAAATTGCAAACAAGTATAATTTATGTTTTAACTAGTGGGGCTAGAACAGCACATACTTTCTCGCCTGTACTTTACGCAAAAGTACTGAAATTTGCGAAAATTGTAATGTTTAACAAAAAGGTTAATGAAATGACATCATCTTACCACTTTTTCAATAAATTCTCCATCATTAAATGCAAATTTCTTTGAAAATGTGTAAAATATTTTAATTATCTTTCAGTGTTCCCACCTCAGAAAGACTTTGGCAAATATCACTATACCACTTCAATAAATGAAACGTTGCTAACTTACACTCGTGTAAGTAAACGTCTCCGTGTATAAAGGCTGTTGATGTACTCACTTTAAACAATTGGCGCTCATGCACCCTCATCGTGAACGTCGAACGTCGAACACGAAGTCGAACTAATGTTTGAACCGGTGATTTTATTATATTTACATTTTATGGCTGATAAATAGAAGATGAATTATGTTGCTGGAATATTGGTAATTAAAAATGAACTATCTAAATGTATACATTTTAATAAAAATTTGCTCCGATAGTATTCGATACATTTCAGAACTATCGATAGTTTTGATAGTATGGTCTATCGATAGTGCCAACGAGGTTTAACGAGCTGTATCGCAGCCTCGGAGGGCGAACCATGGTGGAAAGGGGGCTCTCCCAGAGCTGTCCAGCAGCGCGAAGCCATCATGGGGGCGAGCGCGATCCTTATCTGCCTGTGAAATCTACACGTACATTCGGATTAAAAAGTAACGCGACTTGTCGGCGATCGGCTGGGACGCGGTTCTCTAACCGCGAGCTTCTCCCCAACCGTGAGTAACTATTCGTTACTTCGTTTTTGATATTAATGCTCGCGAATGGATAACAGCTTCCCAACTGATCAAAAGTCTATTTGCCGTACGTTTTAATTGGAGCATAGATCCCAGACTAGGATCGGGACACTCGGTACCGCTTGTTCTCGACATAATTGTTTATTCAGTCATTCGAGCTATTTTTGACACTTATTGTTGCCAATCAAGTGTTCGTGATTATCTCATAGAAATGATTCACATGTAGTTCTCAAACGTGGACTAATTTGTACTCGAGTCGTAATACTTCATATTAAACAGGTACACAAAATAAAAAAAATGTTAGACCATGTGACAAACGTCATAAAAAATGTTGCTTAACACAGGTTTCTCTATGTATGTCGACGCGCTGAATCCGAATCTGAAGCCAGAATTTCGACATCACCGTCCATTTTTTAAATGGCGAAAAAAACATACAAATACTAGTCCGGCGTCTGGGTAAAAATTTGACTTTGAGAGCTCGTGCCATATGTCGTTGCTTCAATCGCATTTAAAACGAGCAGTCATTTTGACTGCTTCCCGTATTTTAATTCGGCATTTTATAGAACATCCTCAAATATTAAAAGCTACAGAATATCATAAAAATCAATAAATATAGGAAGAAAAGAGAACGAATCAAAAAATCAGTCAAAATGAATGCTCTCGTCATTCTAATGTTAATCCTTTACAATCACAAAATTCAGAATCGAGCACTGCAAACTTTTGCTTTGACAAACTATAACGTCGCCAGGGTTCGCATTTAACGAATTCGCCACTTTACTCCCCCCTTCTCCCCCTCTCTCTCTCCCCTC